GTACTGAGGTAGAGATAGAGAAAAAGGTTTTGTTTTGTTCTCTGTTGTATGCTGATGTCTACCTGTGTCATTAGTTACTATGGAATGAATGTTATCTTTTACTATAGGTATAAATTTATCTTTTTTCATTTTCTGTTTTTCATTTATGCATTTTGAGGTTATATTGTTAGGTATATGCTAATTTAAAATTGTTTAAATTTCTTGAAGGATTTAGTATTTTATCATTGAAATCTATACCTCTATATACCCCAGTAGTACCTTCTACCTTGATGCTTATTTTCTGTGATATTGAAATCGTTAAACTAACCTAGTTTTAATTTGTGTTTATATGGTGTCTTATTTCCATCCTTTTCACTTTTATATTTCCTTGCCCTTGTGTCTCTTGAAGTAGAATATATAGGAAAATATTTTGATGACAAGGCCAATAGTTTCAGTTTTTTAATTTTGTCCGTGGACCATGCCCCCGGATATTCGGATTCAGAATTATGCATGTTACCCAAGAATCTACATTTAAGAAGCATGTTGAATGATGTTAGTAAAAGCAAGTCATACTTGGAGGAATGTTTGGTGAGATAAGGAATCAGTTTTCCAGGTAGATATAGAAGTGGTCAGTGACAGATCCTAAAGCAGAGATACAAGACTAAGGTCACATGCTCATGGGAAGCTACTATATTAGGGATGAAATGGGAATATAGCTATGGTCCAGAACCTCTAAAGAACAGAAGTTTCTTTTTTATAAGGTTAGAAAAGCAATGTGCTGGAAGTTCATTTAGGAAGTATGCAAGGCATTCCCTATTTCTTCACACCAAAACAATTGGAGAATTGAAGACTGAATAGCATCTTCTGGATATAAGAAAACATGTCTTCATGGTAAGGGCAGATATTAGTTAATACAGTGAGAAGGAGGAGGAGATGTAGTATAATTTTGTAACCATGTAGTAAGCTTCCAAGAAAAAATAGAAATATTTGGAGGAAGGAAACAGCTGAGGGTTGAATGATAGTAGAGTAAGCAGTAAACAGTTTGGGGACAAGAATATGAAATCACTTTAAGGATTCATCATGTATGATAAATGGAGTTAACATATATGGAAGATGTCTTGAGTATAACTGGTAGCAAACTTTCCCTAAAAGAATCAGCAGTCTCCGGTATTCAAGAATGAAAACTTGATTGTTTCTGCAGTTAATGCTTTTGTGTTGTAAGTCTCAGAGAAAAGGCCATTGTGAAATGAGTTCATTCTCAAGAGACTGACCAAGTTTTAGAATTAAAGCAATAATTCCCTATATAGATAGCAAAGTTTCAGTTCTCTTGCAGTTAGCTTATGCTATATAACTATATCTAACTCTTACACTATATGATATATAATATACATTATAATATATATGACATCTAATATATAAGTATATAATCACATATACACACTATAGTGTATTGTGTGTGTGATTATACATTTTTTTTGACTCAGTACATAGTTCTGGGAGCTCTGGATAGCATAAAATTGCTCAAGAGAAAACTCAAATAAAAGCTACAGTAGACAAAGACAATGTCATGTAATAAAGTGACTGCATTTCCTGGAGTGAGATGGTACTGTTTGACTTCATTTAAGCCAGTTTGACCAGGATTGCATTGTAAAAGAATGTTTTGATTATTGTTAATTGTTTATATCTGTCTTCCATCTTTCAGAAGACTACTTTTCTTGAGTGATAACCAAAAAAAGGTGTTTTTAAACTGTTATTTTGTCAGGCACTGGTGGCTTATACCTATAATCCTAGCTAGTCAGGAGGCTGAGATTTTAGGATTGTGGTTCAAAGCCAACCCTGGGCAAGGAAGTCCGTGAGACTCAAATGGAACTGTGGCTCAAAGTGTACAGCATTGGCTGTGAGTGCAAAAGCTCAGGGATTGCACCCAGGCTCTGAGTTCAAGCCTCAGGACTGGTATGCACACACACACACACACACACACACACACACACACACACACACACAATTAAGGTAAGTTGTCATAGATACGTAAATTATTTTGAGTATTGTTATAATAAAATGAAGTTTTCCACTCTAGAAAAAATGATTTGAGCTTATAAGGCTTTACTTAACTACCTTGGAAGAACACTGTCTTCTGTAACAGTTTCTGTATTACAATTACAGCTTCTGTGTTACTGCAACCTGTGAGAAGGGATCTTCAGGATTATCATAGACCAAGAATACCCACGCCTCAGAACTCTTAGCTTATTTTAGATCTGTTAAGAGCCAACTGAAAATACAGATTATAAAGGTGCTATTGTAATTGTTCAACTTCAAGTACTAAAGCTAATGAGTTTAAAGCATTTCCTCAGAATTACTGGAATTTTGGATTCAGTATTCTCTGCAGAGGAATTTATAACTGAATTGAAGGTAATAGGAAGAATTATTTTGTGGTAGTCTTCATCCATTCCCATCTTATATCAAGTCTAATGAACTATATAAATGCATTGCTACTCATAATTATGAAAAGACTTTCAGAACTTAATCTTTGCACAGATTATAAATAAGGAAATTGATTTGTCATTTCCAGCTTACTTGAATCAGTTTAACTCTAATTTACATGCTTTACACAATCAATATTTATTGATTTCCTCTTTGGACAGCATAACAATGCGAGAGCACTAGAGAAAAATAAAAAGGCACAGTTTTTGTCTTCACTGAAAATATAAGGTGGCTTTAATAGGTGGGACAAGGTTCCTTATAAACTTTAAATGACAATAATAATGATAACCAACATTTTAGTGCTTTTTTTTGGCTAGGCACCCATCTATGTACTAGTTCATTTAATAGTTCTATAACAACCTGAGAGGTAGATACTATTGGTGACCCTATTTGGTGCATGAAGCAGTTGAGGCACAGAGATGTTATATGGCTTGTTCAAAGTCAGGTTGCTAGGAAGTGATAAAGTCTGGATTCAAACCTGACCATTACTGTGCACTGCCTCTTAACTCCTGAACAGTATAAAGAAATATTCTGACAAGTGCCAGTTGCTTATGACTGTAATTGTAACTACTGTAGTTTGAGACCAGCCTAGGCAAAAACTTTGCAAGACCCTATCTTAGTCAATAGCTGGGATGAGGGACATGTCTGTCATCACAACTGCACAAGAGACTAAGATCCAGAGGATCTTGGTTCCAGGTTTTAGACAGGGAAAAAATGTTCATGGGTCTCCGTTTCAACAGAAAAGAAGCTGGGTGTGGTGGCACATAACTGTTATCTTAGCTACAGTGGGAAACATATATAAAAGGATTGTATTTCAGTCCCACCAGATCAAAAAGTGAATAACTGGAACCAAAGGAACTAGAGACATACGTCAAGCAGTAGAATGCTTATCTAGAAAACTCAAAGCCCTAAATTCAAAGGCATCAACAAAAGAGGGACAAAGAGATAGAGAGAGGAAGAGAGAGAAAAAGGGTTGAGAAAGAAATTAGCATTCTGATACTGTTTAATACAGTAACTAATAGCCTATGTGACAATTGAAATTGAAAGCAACTAAAGTGAAAATTTTAATTCCTCGTTTGAATGAGCCACATTTCAATGGCTCAGTGGTCACCAGTTGCTTGTTGTTATTGTATTGGGAACTTCCATCATTGTAGAAAGTTCTATAGAACAGCACTGGTAGATAGGTGTTATGATAGTTTTTTAATGAAAGTGAGACATATGTAGAAAATGTAAGATTCTTCTAGTTGTTACTGATTGCGTGGGTAGCCTGGGTAACTGGCTAGATGAACTTATTCCCCATAAAAAAGGTTACAAACTAGCTACTGGCTTCTCATGCCTGAAATCCTAGCTACACAGGAGGTTGAGGTCACAATTTCCCAGCTCAATTATATGGCAGGCAGGAGCGGGGTGTGTTTGTGTGTGTGTGTGTGTGTGTGTGTGTGTGTGTGTGTGTGTTGTGTTGTTTTATGGTGCTTGGGATTGATTCCAGGACCTTGCACATATTAGACAAATGCTGTGTCACTGAGCTATACCTCTGTACAGATCTTTTTAAAAATACAGATTTTGAACCTCTTCCCAGAAGCTTGGGGGATAGCCCAGGAATCCATTAAAAAATAAAAGTTACTGTTGATTCTAATTTAGTTTATTCTCAGAACTCTCCTTAAGAAGAACTGGAATTTGGTCTAAGGGTATAGTTCAGTGGTAGAACACTTAACCAAACATGGATGAGGCTCTAGGTGCAAACTCCAGTGCTGCACAAAAACAAAAACAAATTACAAAATCACTGGAATTTGATAAACTAATAAACTGAATCTAACCAGACTTTGGAGGATGATATATCCTTAATTTATTAATTTATTTAACAAACATGCCCAAGCATTTAATGTGTAGTAGGTATTATGCTAGCTTCTAGGAATATAAAGATGAGTAATATACATGAACCCTGTTCTCAGGCTCAGAATCTATTAGACAAGGTATGGAGAGATAAATAAGATGTGTGGTCAGTGTAATCATATCAATGAACAGGATATTTTGTAAGCAAATAGGAGGACCTTCCTGCCCTGGTTGGGTGACAGAAAGAAGAAAGGATCAAGAAAGCTTCAAGGTTGTGGCTGAGCTTTATCGTAAGAGATAACCTGCTCCTTATAGCATTGAGTATTCCTTGCACTCATTGCATTGCTTAAGAATCTTGGTAAATGCAGCAGTGGTACTCACTAGGCTGTATGTTGAAAATTAACTATACAACTTGTGGGTAGGAATGGGAGAAAGAAAGGGAAGGGGTGACATTTTCCAAAAAGAAATGTACTCATTACCTGATTATGTAACTGTAATCCCTCTGTATATCACCTTTATAATAACAATAAAAACTCTTTTCAAAAGAATCTTGTTAAACTATATTATACATTTATCTTCTTTTTTAAACAAACCTTTTTATTTTAATGATTTGGTGTGGCCACAAGTTATCAGTTATTTAGACCATATAGCAAAGTAGGGATATTTTCTAGGGCAGTGTACAGTATTAATTTCAATTATCCAATATGTTCTCCAATTGCTGTGACTTTTGTTATTCTCATTTTTCTATCTCCCTGTCTTTGTTGTGAGCCTGATCCTTATGTTCTTAATAGGTCTCTTTGAAAGTGAGGCTCAAAGAATTAAGAAATTAACCTGAGCTTCCTAATTCCAGAATAGTTCTATTCTATAAAATCAGCAATCATTAAGCAAAGAGTTGTGGCAGAATCATTTGGTGAACTGCATGCTTATGACTACCCCCAAAGAACCTGATTCAATAAGACTAGCCTCTATAATTCTAAAAAAAAAATAAGTTAAAATTTTTATGTATATATTTTATGCATGTGAGGTGAAAATGTCATAGTGAAACTCCTTGTGTATAACTGATATATGCTAATAAAATACACACAGACACATGTACACACACATATAGAAGCCCTGATGGATAGCCCTGAACCATCATACTTCAAACTGTTACTATCCCTCAAAATTGTTTCTGAATAAATAGTTGAATAGTTAAATAGGCAATAAAAGCCTATTTTATAACCAGGCAAAGGAGAAAGATTTTGAATTGTACTATGCCTAGTGAAAAATATCAGAAGGTTTTACGTGGAAGAGTGAGATGATCTCACTTGGATTTTGAAATGATCACTGTAAGCTGAGTGCCTGTGGTTCACACTTGTAATTCTAGCTAATTTGGGAGGCTGAGATTGGGAGAATCACTGTTTGGGGCCAGCCTGGGCACATACATGAGACTCCCTTCTCAACTAATAGGCTGGTCACTGTGGCACATGCCTGACAACCTAGCTGTTACAGGAAGCTGAAATCTGGCAGATAAGGATTCCAAGATGGATGGATGGATAGATAGGTAGATAGATAGATAGATAGATAGATAGATAGATAGATAGATAGATAGATAGATAGATAGATAGATAGATAATCTTTGAATCCCTCCACCATAGTAGCTTAAACACTGCCATGAATCCCTAATTCATGTGTAATGTAAATGATCCCTCTAACTGCTATGTGGAAAACAAAATGGAGATGCCTCTGTAAGGGTACTAGTAAAGGTACCATACATTAATTTAAGCGAAGAGATATATAGGAGTTTTGATGTGGATGATAATAGTGGAGGTGGTAAGAAATGTTTTGAAGGTCAGAGCAACAAATTTTCTGACAAATCAAATGTACAGTATGAAAGTTGTCAAGGATCACTCTTAAAGATGGTAGCTCAAATAACTGAGAGGACAGAATTGCCATTTACTGGGAGAGAAACCTGTGAGAGAAATAAGCTTGAGAAGAATATCAGGATATTACTTTTGGATATGTTAAATAGGAAATGCCTATTAGACATCCTAATTATAGTCCAGTGGATATGGGAGTCCAAGTTTCCAGGGTAGAGATAAGCTTGAAATTTATCACCATAAAGATGACACTTAAAATTCTAAGAGCAGATGAAATTGTCAAGAAGCAAGTACTGATAGAGAAGATACAACAATAAAGAATTAAACCCTGGGATATTTGAATAATCAGAAGCCAGAGAGATAAAGAGAAAGGACTAGCCAATGAGATAGAAAGAAACCCAAGTGTAGTATCTAGAAGCTAAGGGAAAGAAAGTATTGCAAGGCACAAAGTAGTGACTGGTTGTGTCAAATGGTGGCATAAAATGAAAACAGCTACTTCACCATTGGAATTAGCAAGGTGTAAGTAAATGGTGATCCTGGTGAGGAGGAATAGCTCAATGGCATAATTGGGACAAAGGTTTCATAGAAATGGGTTCAAAAGAGAATGTGAAGGAAAAGAATGAGAGCTGTAAATAGGCAACTTTTTTCTTTCCTTTTTTTTTTTTTTTTTTTTTTTTGCCAATCCTGGGTCTTGAACTAGGTACCTGGGCTCTGTCCCTGAGCCTCTCTGTGCTGGAGGCTAATGCTCTACCACTTGAGCCACAGCACCACTTCCGGTTTTTTCTGTTTATGTGGTGCAGAGGAATTGAACCCAGGGCTTCATGCATGCTAGTCAGGCATGCTACCACTGAACCACATTCCAGCCTAGGCAACTTTTTGAAAGCTTTCCCATGAAAAGGAATAGGAAGTGGTATGGAAGCTAGATGAGTATTGTAGCCTATTTGTATGCTAGTGAGAATTACCCAGCAGAGAAGAAAATTGTGGTGCTAGACATGTTCAGTTTAAAAAGTATTAGATCAGCTTGGCAGCAGTAGCTCATGCCTATTCAGGAGGCTGAGATCTGAGGATTGCAGTTCCAAGGCAGCCCAGGCAGGAAAGTCCAGGAGACTCCTATCTCCAATTAACTACCAAAATGTCGGAGAATGATGCTGTGGCTCAAAGTGGTAGAGCATTAGTCTTTAGCACAAAAGCTCAGGGTCAGTGCCAGGCCCTGAGTTCTAGCCCCAGGATTGGCACACACAAAGAAATATTAGGTCAGTTTTAGGAGCATTTTACCACATTTGGGATATTATTAAGAGAGGAACATTTCTGTGTCACCATCTCTAAAGAAAGAATGGTGTATATTTCAGAGTTATTACCAAATATAGCAATCAGGCTCTTTTCAGCTCCACAATCAGTGAGCAGCTTTGTTCCCATGAAGCATTTATTGCCAGTTTTAGTAATAGTTTAGTGGTTTTCTTTCATAATCTAGATGGTTTATCAAACAGTACATGAAGACCTCATAATCCTAGGTTAATGAAGGACTGCGTCATGAGTCAGTCTAAGTCTATAGTCAGAAAGAACCAAACACAGAATCAAATGAGCTTGATTAGAGATTGTGGAGACTAGCTTTGAGAGAAAGATAGGACAGCATTGCTACCATGGACAACTGGACAGCTAGAGATTAGTCCAAAGGAAGCAAGTCTCTTATCTTGTTCTTACCCTGTGGTTGAAATAGATGGAACAGATCACCTAGGTCCATCTCAGATCGTCCTTCACTGTTCTGACAAGTCATGAGGAAACATTGTTAAGATCCAAAGAATGTCTGGACTCTGTCTTCACTTTAGGAACTTCCTGTGGGGTTAACATAGAATTTGATGTGTACAGGTGGCAGAAGTTTAGCTGTTGAGAACCAGGTGGCAATTCTGGTAACTTAAAAAATTCCAAAATTCCATGTTGTATTTAAAATGTTGCAACCTTTATTTTTTAAACCATTATAGCTCTCAGTTTTTTCCTAGACCAAATGTACCTTGAATGTTTCAATCTTATGTAGTTTGATCATATTTGTATGTTTATATATGTAATAAAAACTCAAGTATCCACCAAAAAAAAGAAGGAAGGGCTACATTTTTTCTTAGGAGTGTTCTATCATGTTTTACAGTCTATTAGAGTTCCTGTTTCTCAATAGTCTAATGACACAGTGAATGTTATATATTCACTCTATATTTTATATATACACAAGGCATTTAATATCTAAGGTGTATTGTAATTGCCATTATGTTATTTTTAATTATCATATTAAAACATTGGATTTAGAGCTGGGAATGTGGCTCAGTGGTAGAGCGCTTGCCTTGCATGCATAAGGCCCTGGGTTCGATTCCTCAGCACCACATAAGCAAAAAGAAAAAAAGCCAGAAGTGGCGCTGTGGCTCAAGTGGTAGAGCGCTAGCCTTGAGCTCAAGAGCTGAGGGACAGCGCCCAGGCCCAGAGTTCAGGCCACACGACCGGACCCAAAAATAAACAAACAAACAAACAAATAAAACATTGGATTTACACTAATATATATGTACTTGCATCTTTTCTTTCATTAGTGTACATTACTAATACAGAACATGGGTTTCATGTTACATTTGCTCATTTACTGATTGGACTACTGGCTCTCTGAAGTGTTTCTTCTTTAGTTCTTTTTTAATGTATTCTGAACATCAATCCTTTGTCTAATGAACTTGTGCAGATGATTTGTTTCCCTCCTTTTGGAGGCTGCCTCTTTACTCTGATAATTATGAAAATTATGCTTTGTGTGGATACATCATAATGATAAATACTTATGATTATAGTCATTGGTAGGCTCCTTTTAATTATCAAAACTGGAAACAATCAGCAAGCTAACATGAGAGAGTGATGGGATGAATTGTATTATCTCAAAAAAGAAGGATGATGCTGCTATAAACAAATCTGAAGTGTCAGCATGAATTGCTGTGTGTGTATGTATTTGGCAGTTTATATTGTGAAGCAAATAAAAGAACTTAAAATTAAAAAGAGGGAAGGGGAAGAATTGATGAGACTACATCATTTACTAAGAACATGGGGATGGGATTTCATACATGGAAGAATTTAGCCCTAAGGGATATGGACAGCCTTGAGGTAAGAGGTAGAAGGAAATCAGATTATATGAGCACACAAGCAGGGAGGTAGAGATGTGGAAAGCAGATTGCAGGGGTTCTTTTCTTATTCATTCTGTCCTAGGAAACAGTTGTTAGCTGTTACTGAGTTTGAAAGAAATTTAAAAATATGAAACAATTATCAGGAAAAAGGAAAGAACTACCAAGTTGATAGAAAGGTGGTTCCAATGGGACACTACACTTAAATTTTAAATGAATTTCACTTGTCTCTGTTTTTCTGAACTCCACAATCAAGTAGCCAGATAGTAGACAGAACAGAGGAAGAAGTTGCTGTGATTTAGGATTGGAATTTTGTTAGGTAAATGTAATGTGAAAGAGGCACAAGAACATAAGCATGGATCCTGGAACTTGTTCTTAGTTACAAACTGAAGCTTTGGAAATAGGAGCTATAAAAGATGTTAGCATCAGTTAGCGATAGTCTTTTTAAGATGGAAGATTACTAGAGTTGGAGTATTTGAAAGGAGATGATATGAAAGATATAAAGATATGAAAGGAGATGACGATCAGAGAGACAAGAAAGAAGTTGATATGAAATTCCCAATGCTTTAAACTGAATGAGGGTGCTTACCAATTGGTTTAGTGAATCTAATAATGATTTTAATTGATCTGTTAGGTTCACGACTACAAAGAAGGAACCCCAGAAGAGAAGACTTTCTACATAGAACTGTGGGATGTTGGAGGCTCTGTGGGTAGTGCCAGCAGTGTGAAAAGCACAAGAGCAGTATTCTACAATTCTGTAAATGGTAAAACATTTTAAATTTCTTCCATGTTTTAACAGTATAGGAGTACAAATCTTCTAATATGAAATGCTATAATATGCCAGACTCATCTCAAATTTGAGAAAGATCTAATATACTCATGACTCTTGATTTTAATCTGCATGTCCCATTCAGTTTATGCTTATATATTCCAGCCAAGTAATTCAGAACAGTAAACATCTACTTAGTCTTTATTATTGTTTCAAACTAATATTTAGAAATAAAATCATCTTTTAGGTACGTGACAGAAAACAAAGAACTTCCAGAGCACTGTCTGTCTTCTTTAATATCATTTTAAAAATGCATAATAGTCTGTGTTGGTTTTGCTGGTAAGACTGAGGTAAAATTCCTGATTTCTAATGGTAAATATAGCCCTGTTTTTTTTTAAATATTTGTGTTATCTTTGAGTAGTTGTATAAAGGAGTTGCTATTCACCAAAGCAGTTTATGAATACCGTGCAACTTGATCAGTGTCATCCCTTTTAACATTCTTACTCATGCCCCCAACCTACCCCTTCCCTCACTTTTCTTAATTTTTAGGTTACGTATTTAATTTTTTTGCTGTTAACAAAGCCATTTATGTTACAGTGCATCTTAATCTGCGTCATTACTTCAACATTTTCATTCCCCTTCTGCATTCTCCTCACTTCCCCCTTTCATTCTTCTACCCTTCTCCTTTTGGCCCCAAGTACTAAAGAATTGCAAGTACTAAAGAATTGTACTATTTGTACTCTCCATTGAGTCTGTTACACTTCAGTTAATTTATTTGTAATCCTTTGCTTACCACCCGGTGTGTTTACTTATAGATTTATAGGCACATTCTAGCTACCACAAATGAGGGGAACAATGCAACCTCTTTATTTGGGTCTGACTTACTTCACTTAATTACCAAATTTTTTTTTAACCCACAAGATTTCTATGTTCGTTTTTTGTTTTGTTTTGTTTTTGTCAGCCGTGGGGCTTGAACTCTGGGCCTGAGCACTGTCCCTCAGCTCTTCAGCTGAAGGCTAGCACTCTGCCACTTGAGCTACAGTGCCACTTCCAGTTTTCTGGTAGTTTATTGGAGATTAGAGTCTCACGGGCTTTTCCTGCCCAGGCTGGCTTTGAACCACGATACTCAGATCTCAGCCTCCTGAGTAGCTAGGATTACAGGCGTGAGCCATTGGTGCCTGGCAAGATTTCTATGTTCTTTTACTATAGCTCTAGAGTATTTCTTCTAGTAGAAGCTCTCGAGATTCCTTATGTAGGACGCTAAGAAAGAGAACATAAGGATCTTTTCATTCAAAAGCTCAGTCTTTATCTTAGCAGTAATTTCTCTTAGCATTGTACCTTCTTTGCAGGCATAATCTCCTCAGTAAACTCATATTTTGAAATGTCTTTGCTTTTCTCCATTAAAATAGACTATGTTCTTATCAGCTGTCATTCTCTTTTCAACTAGGTCTCACGTTGGCTCTTCAAGTACTATCCTACAAAATAAGAACTCTCAGACTAAAAGAAAAAGAATTAGAAAAAGGATGCTCAGATGCTCTTAAAACCTCTAAAGCCTTTAGAGAGATAAAATAAACTTTCTTGTCCATCAGCTAGCCAGCGTAGATCTTTTGTAATTCTTTCACTTTCCCAACCAACAGTCCCACCTACAATTTTGTAGCATTAATACCTGAAAATAAAGGAGAGTGAAATTATCTCCTGTTTCTTTTACCCTAAAATGAGGTTTTACTTTGCTTCCCCCAGTCTTCTACCATCAAAATATCTGAGTACAAGCAATAGAAGTGTACCTCAAGTACAACAGTGCCCTGGGTTTCATCCTCAGTCAAAACACAAACAACAAACAAACAAAAACCTCTTAATCCACATTCTGGCTACCCTGATTACCATGTGACTTAGAACAAGTTATTCAGCATCTCTGAGTCTCATGTCCTCTGTGTAGGTAACAATAATTCTTACCACATAGCACTCCTCTGAAAATTAAACTAGATACCACAAGTTAAGCACAATACTATCCCATAAGTACTAAATAAATATTAGCTATATTCTTTAGTTGCAGTCCTTTATTCATATATATGAATATATTATAGGTATATATATGTATATATATATATATATATATATATATATATAAAATTCATATGTGTGTGCTTTTGATGTGCCTGTAAGAATCCTTCACTGAGAAGTTATAGAATGAGTACAGTTAGATATGAGGGCAAATATCAGGTCTCTATTCCAGATACCAAGAGAGACAAAGTTAATCTATAATCAACTATATCTTATATAAATATACCAGTTATACCCATGTCTGTAAAAACTAGAGATACTGATTCTACCTCTTCTGCCTTCTTCTTCAAATTGATGTATCCCATATGTGAAGATGGATGAATCATAGATTCCAGGTCCTCTTCTCTAGTAGACTCAGGGTAATATGGGAAGGTATTGGGAGTTTGATAACCTATCTAGGCCACGAATGATATTCTAAATCCCACTATATATAATTGTAATAATCTGCTTTGCCTTTCTGACAAGAATGGGGAATATCCAGCCTACTAGCTATATAGGGCCTGTAAAAGTATTTGGTACCTGACAGGACAGACACCTAAGCTTCTTTCTTAGTGGCTGCTCACAGCTATCTGCTTATATTTATAATTTTGTATGGCCCACGAATATTGTTATAAATATCCAATGGTCCATGGCAGAAAAAATATTCCCTACCTTTTAGATTCTAGGATCTTTTTTAATATATTTTTTATTGTAAAAATACTGTACAGAGGGGTTGCAGTTACATGAGCAAGATAATGAGATTCTAGGATCTTAACTCATCTGTTTAATTGTATTTGATACATTTTGTTATGCTTCTTAATCTCTCAAAATGTCCATATTTTGGATTCATACTTTTTGGTAATCTCTTTCATTTATCCTTAAATGGCGTATATCCTTTGTATGTTTAACTAAATCTTTTATATGTAACAAGCTTATATGGTTAACCATTTAGTTCAAAGAACTAAAAAGTGAAACTCTTAAATCAATGAGGTCTAAGTAATACATGGGACAATTTTTTTTGTTTGTTTGTCGGTCATAGGGCCTGAACTCTGGGCCTAGGGACTGTCCCTCAGCTCTTCAGCTCAAGGCTAGCGCTCTACCGCTTGAGTCATAGCGCCACTTCCAGCATTTTCTGGTTATGTGGTGCTGAGGAATAGAACCCAGGGCCTCAAGCATGCAAGGCAAGCACTCTACCACTGACATACCTTCCCAGCCCCCTGGGACAATGTTTGTCTGTTAAAGAATAGCAGTTATACAAATTTAATGAAGATTATTTTAATAAATCTGTGTTAACATTGTTTGGGGTGTATATAAGCAATATATCCATATATATATATTTTATTTGTTTATTTTTTTGTTGGTCGTGGGGCCTGAACTCAGTCTGGGCACTGTCCCTTAACTCTTCAGTTCAAGGCTAGAGCTCTACCACTTGAGCCACAGTGCCACTTCCAGCTTTTTCTGCTTATGTGGTACTGTGGAATCAAACCCAGGGCCTCATGCATGCAAGACAAGCACTCCACTGAGCTACCTTCCCAGCCCAGCAATATATTTTTATACTGTTATCTGTAGCAGTACTTATACAGAAACAATGCAACTTGTTAAATGAATATAATTTCTTATACTTAAGCACTGTTTTCATTTTGTTGTTTGTCTCCTGCATGCTAGGCCACTGCTATACTATTTGAGCCACACTGACAGCCCCCCCCCCTTTTTTTTCAGATAGTTTCCCTAACTGATGATCTCTTGTCTCTATTTCTCCAGTAGCTAGGTTTGCAGGACTGTGTCACTACAGATAGATGAAGTAGCTCAGCAAGTAGGACCAAACATAAGAGGAAGCACTAGGGAAGTTTGAGTGACAAATAAGGAAAGACATTCCAAATATTTAATCACATTTTAAAGGCCCTTATAAAATGTTTTAAAGCTTAAATAATTGACGTACTTTTGTAGTTAATTATTTGTCACTGCTTATCGAGGAAATTTTAAATTCTGTTTTGTTATTCACATTGGAATACTAGATTCATGCTTATGCTTATAAGATCAAGATTCTCTTTGCCAGTTGTGAAATAAAGAGATGTTGTTATAATACTGACATTATTATCTCTTTTAGGTATTATTTTAGTGCATGACTTAACAAATAAAAAGTCATCTCAGAACTTGAGTCGTTGGTCAGTGGAGGCTCTCAATAGGGACATGGTGCCAACTGGAGTCTTGGTGACAAATGGGTAAGCTCAGAATTACTTTACAGTTAGTTTGAAATGCTGGAGCAGTTAAGGAACGTACTTCACAAAATAGCACTTTGTAAGATATTTGATTTGCAACTATTTTCTCCCAGTTTGTAAATTATCCTTTTATTCTCAGATAATGTCTTTCACAAAACAGTAGTTTTTCTCTGGATGTTTTGGAATATCATGTCTAAGGATTCTTTACCAAATAATACTATATCATATTCCATATTTCTTCTATAAAGTTTTATAGCCTTGGGTTTATATTTAGCTCTGTGATCTTCTTTTAATTAGCTTTATATGAAATAGGAAGTTTTAGTTTTAGTTCAACTTTAACATTTGAATGTTCAATTGTTACAACACCATTCATTGAAAAGATTACCTACCCTTTCTTCATTGAATTACATTTGTTCCTTTACCAAAAGTCAATTAATTGGCTATATTGTATGGATCTACTTGTGGACTCTAATTCTGTTCCACTGATATATGTGTCTACTTCACCAACCGGCAATCTTGATTATAGTCACATGGTAGTAAATCTTCAAATTAACCATCATATTCCTTACAATTTATTCTTTTTTGTAATTTTTTAGATATTCTAGTTCATTTGTCTCTCCACATAAATTTAGGAATCCTTTAGTTTATATTGTCAAAATTTTTACATTTGCATTTTACATTTACATTTTTGCATTTGCATTAAACCTATAGATCAGATTGGAGAGAATTGACATTTTTATTCTGTTGCATCTTCCAGTTCAGGAATAAAATATCTCTCCATTTTTTTAGATCTCCTCAATTCCTTTTACCAGCCTTATGTGCTTTTCAGCACATGAATCCTGTGCGTGTTTTGTTAGATTTATGATACAGTGATACAGTGCTTAATTTTTGGTGGCTGTTTTTGAGACAAGCTTTCACCCATATAGCCCAGGCTAACCTCCAACATGTGATCCTCCTGCCTTGGTCTCCCAGTACTGGGATTGAAGGTAGGGACCACCATATCCAGCTCAAGTTTAATAGTTTTGAATTCAGAGTTCAAGGTAGCTTGAACATATAGATATGAGATATGGATATGAAATCTTTGAGAGGGAGAGGGGAAAGAAGAAAGAGGGGAAGAGGGGAAGAAAGGAAGGGTGGGAAGGGAAGGGGGAAGAGATTCACAGATCTATTTGTTATAGATTTATCTATTGTTAAGTTTTAAAAATTAAGGGATAGTAGGGGAAAAAAGAATCAATGAAGCCAGGCACCAGTGGCTCACACCTGTAAATCTAGCTACTTAGGAAGCTGAGATCTGAGGATCATGGTTCAAAGCCAGCCCGGGCAGGAAAGTCCATGAGACTCTTATCTCCAATAAACCACCAGAAAACTGGAAGTGGTACTGTGGCTCAAGTGGTAGAGAGCTCACCTTGAGCTGAAGAGCTGAGAGACAGTGCCCAGGCCCAGAGTTCAAGCCCCATGACCAACAACAACAAAAGAATCAATGAAAGGCTCAGTTAGAATAAAAATAATCACCTATAAAGATAGGAATAATACTACTTAGTATGTATCTTTTATATCAGCTTAAATTTGGAACCATATAAATGTTTTAAGTAAGTTTTTGATACATGTTTTTAACTTCTTACCACAGAAAAAATATTCTTAAAAATAAAGAACAGAAAATAAACTATCATGTATTTATGAACTCTCAGTCCGTGGCCAGTCTTGTTTCATCCATATCTCTACCCCATTCTCCACCTTCCCACACACCCATTATTTTGAAACAAATATTAGATGTGTGCCTTAAACAATGAGTACTTTTTTATATAACTAACTTGGTTATCATACTTAACTTTTTAACATTCTTATTTTTATTTTATTTTGTTGTAAAGATGCTGTACATAGGGGTTACAGTTACATGAGTAAGGTATGAGTACATTAATAATCAAATAGTACTTTAATTTCCTCACTTATCTAAAAGAAATATGATTGGTTTTTTCAAAATAGTATCTAACTCATTGTATTTTGTTTCTGAAATTTCTTTTAGTCTTTGATTCTCTCTCTTTTGTAAAAACAGTTTATTGTAAAATAAAAATGATAGGTTTGTTTCTGTAGTTTCCTTTTTCTGGATTTTGCTAATTGTATCCCTGTAGAGTCTTCTAAACTTGTTTCCTGAATCTTAAATCTTGTCTCAGTGTCAGTTAAATGTAATGTCTGAAAGATTCAGGGCTTTTTATTTTGTTTTTATTTGCCCAAAGTAGCATTATACTATAAAGTGACTGTTTATAGATGTTTATAGCTTTGTGATTTTGAGGAGTTATTGGCCTTATTCTTGTTAAAATTCCCCCCCATTAGATTTTCATGTAATTTTTTTAGAAAAAAGATTTCAAAATCAAATTTTAAACTGAGTGTAAGATTTTATGAAAGAAAATGATAATGAAAGGCACAGTTAATGTGATACAGATGTCTTTTAAAATTAGTTTTTAATTGACAAATCCTAATTGTCTACTTTTTTTCTTTTTTTTCTTTTTGTTTTTGTTGGTCGTGGGGCTTGAACTCTGGGCATGAGCGCTGTCCCTCAGCTCTTCAGCTCAAGGCTAGCGCTCTACCACTTGAGCTACAGCGCCACTTCCAGTTTTTTCTGGTGGTTTATTGGAGATAAGAGTTTCACGGACTTTCCTGCCCAGCCTGGCTTTGAACCGAGATCCTCAGATCTTAGCCTCCTGAGTAGCTAGGATTACAGGAATGAGCCATTGCTCCCGGCTTCTAATTGTCTACTTTTGTATCACAGTGAATGTAATGAAAGCTATAAGCAATCAGAGAGCAAATGTTTATACTGTACACTTGTTAATATGCAAGAAAGTATACAAAACTTTAAGTGACACCAATGTGTATGTAGCAAAGATGAAATTTGATACAATACATATAAAATTTTTATGAGACAGAATTAGTGAATGTAAGAAAAAGCCCTAAACACATATTCTGAAAACATTCTATGAATCAAATTTTAGTTGGAACATGTCTCCTAAACTCAGTTGATGTCAGAAAAATGTTGGTTTAAAAGTTGGTCTTGAACTTGAGCTGTTACTAGTTTTGGTGCAATAAATGTAATTACAATATCCCAATGACATAGACCAAAATAGTTGCGTTCTAAGACTGTGAGATAGTTTTGGCTCTGCAAGATTATTTTGAAGGACACAACAATTGAGTAGTGTCCTCTCCACCCCAATTTAGAAAGAGAAGTAGTAGCAAAGGTAGAAGAAAAGCTGTGCTCAACTTGGTTGTATTGATTAGATTCTATAATATTGATTTACTGTCATAAAATGTTCAAAGGCAGATTTTGCTGACTGTGGTAAATTGAGCTTTCAACATGTCAGGAACTCAAATCTGCTTTCCTTCTAATATGTGAATAGAATTTAAATTCATTCAGCAACAGCAGGCTTTATGTTCCTTACAATGATAAGAAATATTATTTATACTGCTACTGTATCCTTCAGATAGAAATTGAAAGGAATTTTTTCTAAGTCTTTCCATTAAAAAATTATATTAAGTGAAGTAAGCCAGGCCCAAAGAAACATAGGTCCCATTGTTTTCCTTATTTGCAATAACTAGTATAAGTCTAGGACAAATAGAAAGGTCAAAAGCTATGTACATATGACCATATAAGATGATGTTAAGTGAAATGAACCCCAAGATAGGGACACAAATGTTTTTTTTTCTTGCTTGCTATTGGTTTTAATGTATTTAAAATGTACTATGTGATTTTTCTGTTTCTTTGGTATGTTCTTCCCCCCACAGTATAACCCCTGTTTGCACTGTATTTGATGTCAGTGCCCTGAATCTTGTATATACATTTTTCTAAGGAGGGGAAGGGAAATAACAAAATGCTGAAATAAGGATACAGGTTGACCCATTGTAACAATGAGATATACAAGACACTATGTTGAAAACGAACTTTACAACTTGGAGGGGACAAACTTTACAACTTGGGGGGGACGGAGGGGTTGGGGAGGTGGGGAAGGGAGGGATGGTAGGAGATAAACAAAGGAAGGGGTAACAATGCTCAATAGGAAATGTACTCATTACCTTACTCATGTTACTGTAACCCCTCTGTACAGTATTTTTACAATAAAATAAACATTAAAAAAAGAAATTGAAAGGAATTGTAATAGCCAATGACCATGACTGATTTAACTACTACTGTCTGTCTACCATGGTTCTCATGTCAGGATAAAAATTATTTGGTGCTAAATATTTTTCTTTTTCTATTCAATTTACTGTTCAGCTATTGTCCTTCCATTTCTAGTTGTTTAATCTATTTTTCTCCAGGCTGTAGTATCACCTATATTCAACTTATTCAGCCTTAAGCTTCCTTATTTCATTTCCCCCATTATCTGATCCTTTTGTATATACAGACAGAAATGTGTGTGATGGATATAGATATTATTCTTGCTCCAGAAACTTGATATATTCCTCTCTTGCACAAGGTTTGTGTTCAGGCTTCTTGATTTTTCTGTAGACTAACGTATGAGTCTATTCTATGCTTCTACACTGAAAAAACCCAAAGAGTCAGCAGTAGAAGACACATGATCACAGTATACATGAACATCCAGTTGTTCATTATCTTTAATAAAGATATTCAGTTGGAACTCAGATGATGGTGGATTGGTAAATGAACAAATGTAAGGAGAAAAGAATTGGGAAAAAGGAGACTTATAGGGGATGGTAAGCAGGAATCAGTTAATTACCTACATTTAAATTCACATATCTGCATTGGAAAGGTAAACTCTGTTCACCCCTTATTATTTATCACAGTGATTATGATCGGGAGCAGTTTGCTGATAACCAAATCCCACTGTTGGTAATAGGAACAAAACTGGATCAGATTCATGAGACCAAGCGCCATGAAGTTTTAACTAGGACTGCTTTCTTGGCTGAGGATTTCAATGCAGAAGAGATTAATTTGGTATGTATTTTCACTAATACATGTTTGCTTTATTATTAAGCAATGTGAAAACAACAGATTTACATTTAACTCATAATTCTAGTGAAAGAAGCCTTCATACTCACATGCAGGCTATTTAGAGAGAGTCAAGGTTAGAATCAACATATCTGTATTCTCAGATGGACACAGTCACTTTGACTGTTCTACTTGAATGTTCAGACTTTTTTCTATGAATAATGTAGGCATAGATGCTTTATTGAAGATTTTTTAAAAATATACAAAAAATCAAAATCATTAAAATGACCAAGCTAACACTATGCCTTGATTATTTTTGCCTTAGCAAAACTCTTAACTACTTTTTAAAAAAATGTACCTTAATAGGCAGCAAATCATATAAGAAAATTTCAAAGTTCATCATAAGGAGTAGTTTATAAAACATACACATGGGCTGGGAAGGTGGCTCAAAGGTAGAGCGCTTGCCTTGCATGCATGAGGCCCTGGGTTCGATTCCTCAGCACCACACAAGCAAAAAGAAAAAGGCCGGAAGTGGTGCTGTGGCTCAAGTGGTAGAGCGCTAGCCTTGAGCTGAAGAGCTGAGGGACAGTGCCCAGGCCCAGAGTTCAGGGCCCAGGACCCCCCCCCCCAAAAAAAATAAAACATACACATGTACAGAGGATTGAGTCCTTCCTGAGATAGCTAGTTTAGCTAGAATTGAAGGATTAAAAAACTAAGAAATGGTACTCACATAGATAGCCTTACCCGGAGAAAGTTCCTGACCAGCATCTATAGTCATTGTTATATAGCATCATTCACAAGTGGGATTTCTAAACATATTCATTGTTTTACATTCCAGATATGCAGTGATGGTGGTTTAATAATACAGTGGGCAGCATTTATTGAGCACTTAGGTGTCAAACACGGTTCTAGTGCTATATATACATTTTCGCACATGAATCATCTCCACATCAATCCTTTTTGAAGTAGATACTACTTTTATCCCCATTAAAAGATGAAGACAAGAAGTAGAGACAGGTAACTTTTAGGTCAAATATGTCACTCTGTCTCTAGAGTTTAGGCTGTATAATTAAGACTATTTCTCATATAATTTTCCTTCAACTAAGATGAAAAGTTTAACTTTTTTAAAGAGCTCTTATAAGTTACCTAGACCAACAAATGTAACTGTATATATTACCAACAGTATCTGTGAAAATTAACTGCCCCCCTCACCCCAGCTGAAATTGTTTGTTCTAAGGTCTGGCAAAAGATCCAAGAGTCTAATTTTGTTTTGTTTTGTTTTTGTTACTTTTTTGTTACTTTTTGCTATCAGCAAACACTTTACTAGTTAATTATATGTACAACTCCAACTGAAATTTTAATAATCAGATGAATCTAATGTTCTGGCTCTGAACCAACATTGATTAATAGAGCTTGGTTCACCCACTTCTAGCCCATAACTAAGTCAGCTTCTGCCTGCCATTCCATTGCTTTTGTTCATTGTATTGTTCAGCAAAAGGTGCCTTTTTTCCCTCAGCTGTCACTGTGGAAGATTCAATGTAAACAATACCCCTGATAGTTAGCATTGGACCGTGGTATTCAAAAGGATTTTTGTATATAGATATATACATTACCCATACTGCAGAAATGCTAAGGTGCCTTTGTCTGAACACTATTTCCAAAGGGACATCTATCACTGATTGTATTTAATCTATCTCAGTGGAAACTTACAAGGTATTTCTGAATGTAATTGTATCTATGTGTTTCTATGACAACCAGCTAGGTGTATGTTATTCCTACTTGCCTTGTAGAGGCCTTTATTTGGTAACAAGCTGTAAAGGTATGCAACATGGGACTTCAGCACAGTCTCCAAAGAGTTCACATACAATGTGATTTTGGCTTTTTATCAGTGTACAGCATAAAGATCACAGCAGAAACAGTGATAGAAGAGTGTCATGAGATGCAAGGAAGAAAATTCCAAGAGGAAAATAAAGGGCTTCAAAGAGAGTGAAATAAAAAAGATTCTGTAATACATAGAAAAGTCAAATTGAAAACTAATAATACTAGTTCTAAGTGGAGCTTTGACACAAATGAATTCATTTAAAACTATGGAAAAGTGTCTGGCATAGGTGGCTCACACCTGTAATCCTAGCTACTCAGGAGACTGAGATCTGAGGAACTCAGTTTGAAGTCTGCCTTGGCAGGCTTGTTCTGCTCTCCAGTTAACCACCTAAAGCAGAAAGTGGAGCTGTGGCTCAAGTGGTAGAGCACTAGCCTTGAGCAAAAAAAAGCTTAGGGACAATGACCAGACCCTAAGTTTAAACCCCATGGAAAAGTAAGAATATAGCAAATGCATACATCAAAAAAAATTGATTTAAAGGTATCTTCTCAGTAAATCCAAATTATTTGAATTAAAAATAGATAGAAGAGCTGGGATGAAGGCTAGTGACAAAGCACTTGCCTAACAAGTGTAACATTCTGGGTTCAATCCCCACTACTAAAAAGGAAAAGACATTTAAAAATAGCTAGAAGATGGCTTATTTTTTAAAATCCTGCTAAACTTACTGTGTCTAGTATGAATTTTTCTGGTATGTTTTTGTCTCAAAAAGATCAGTAATGATCCCTTCTCAAGCTCTAACAGCTATTTAGAACTATTAATTTTTAGGCTTTTTCCTCAATCATGACCAGTGGCAAATGGCTTTTACAGCTCCAAAATTTTCACTCTAAAAACATAGGGTTTCAGAGTCCTTGAATTGTAGAGCCCTGAAATTAAGATATTGAGGCCAGGAGCACTTATTTGATGTTTGATATCATTTTTGTATTTTAGTTTAAAATCACCATTCACAGTCTGATGACTATGTAATCAGTGCCCACTTTTTTTTTTACGTATTTTTTTATTGTGAAAATACTGTACAGAGGGGTTACAATTACATGGGCAAGATAATGAGTACATTTCTTATCAAGCATTGTAGCCTCCTCCTTTGTTTCCCCTTCCCATCCCTTCGCATCCTCCCCCTTCCATCCCCCCACCAAAGTTGTAAAGTTCGTTTTTCGACATAACGACATGTACATCTCATTGTTGCAATGGGTCCTCCTGTATCCCTGTTTTAATGATTTGTTTTTTCCCTTCCCCTCCACATATACCAACATCATATATAGTGAAAGCAGGAGTTTTACCATGGGGGAGGGACATACAAAGCAACAAAGACATAATCTTATAAATATGTTAGAAACAATCCAGTATCTAATGCCAATCTAAAGTATGTTCTGTAGAAATATGTCCAGGTGTTATTCTAAATACAACAGTGTATACAATGATGTTTTGGTGTACTTAATCCATCTGTGGAATTATCTTTATTGTGTTAGATGCTTTTTGTATCTGAAAATTCTGATAGCGTTCTCTTAGAGTAGAAAAAGGAACTAATATTCCAAGACCTGATTTGTACCAGACATGCACTATTTAACTTTCACAAAAATCCTATAGGATAAGAATTATTATTATGCATTTCACAAATGAGTAATCCCAGGCTTAAAGGCTTAGTAGCTTAAGCAGTGTTACATAATGTAGGAATATTGGCACCGATTTTCAAGTAGAGTTTTCTGGGTCTGATTTCCCTAGTACTTTGTGGTCTTTGAAAACTTTGTTATGTAGTCTCTTTGGGATGTGAAGTGGACAGGGCTGAAGAATATATTTCAGTCTCTGGCCAGAATTTAAAATGTGATCCAAGAAATGTTGTGTATGGATAACACAGGTAGCATTTAAGGTAAGCATCAAAGTCTACTCTGTCTGGCAAGGTCACTAGTGACTAGCAAAGACAGTGCAATACTGCAATTCCAGGAGGACAGTAAGTTATTTAAAAGGTCTTTACAAAGTATTGTAGTGGTTTCACATTCCAGATTATTCTGTCATCTGAACCCTATTTTTTTTTCTATTTAAAGACTCCTACTGAACAGTAGCAACATATCTATTGTTTATTACCATTAAAAACAGAATGTCTTTGTGACCTATGAAGAGAAGGTTTTGGCAAATGTTTTTCCTTTGCTCCTTTTATCTTTATTTTCCTGCTTCCTACTGTATGTACTGTATTAAGTAGTAGTAGTACTATATTAAATAAATGAACTGTATTAAGTAGCTATATTAACTAGTTGTATTATATGTATTATATTAAGTAGTTGAACACTTAAGTTGTTAGTTATTACTTTAAAAAATGAAGTGTTTGCTGTTTGTAATGACTATTTCTGGTTTGGGGGTAAATGATTAGCACTTTAGTTTTGTTGTAAAAGTTCAACAAGAGCTAGGAATGTGGCTTAGTGGTAGACTGCTTGCCTGGCATACATGAAGCCCTGGATTCGATTCCTCAGTTCCACATAAACAGAAAAAGCTGGAAGTGGTGCTGTGGCCCAAGTGGTAGAATGCTAGCCTTGAGCAAAGCTCGCAGACAGTGTCCAGGCCCTGAGTTCAAGCCCCAGGACTGGCAAAAAAAAGAAAATTCAACGAATTTAGTCTTCATGGAAGACTAAATATTTGATGATAAATACATTGATTCAGCATACTCTAAAAGTGCTTAAATGACAGTAAAGCACCTTATCTTTCTTTGCTATCTTCCTATTTACTCTATACATCGTAATTTGAACATTATTCAGGTGTTTTATAAGAATATTGAAAATGTTTAGTGTAGGAATAATTGTAACTACTATAAAATTTATTATACTTAAAATGCTTTTGCTTCTGAACATTCATTTGTGGAATTTATGTTTTTCAGGATTGCACAAATCCACGGTACTTAGCTGCAGGTTCTTCCAATGCTGTCAAGCTCAGTAGGTTTTTTGATAAGGTAATGCCTTCAATTAAGTTATCATTAAGCTTTATTAAATGAGAATATAAACTCTTTATAGAATACTGTGTCCTTTTATCCCTTTGCCCAAAACTTTACAGGCTGAATAATACCTGTTTTCATCTCTTATCTGTTGAGATCTGTTGTTGCTCAAGGCTTATTGACGTATTTATTCCATCACCAGTGTTCTCTAAGCAAAGGGTAAAAGCTCCAAGATTTAAGTGAGGCTCTGAAAAAGACACATAGTTCCCCTTAAAACAATTCATGTTTACTCATTTCCCATTTTCTTTATGTACTTACTCATGTCTTTCCCCCCCTCACCTGCCAAAGGCACTGAATGAAAAAGGATCTGCCTAGCTAAAGCCTTGAGTTCTCTTTGCTTCTTTCACAATTGATATCTTCCATATCTAAAATTTTGAGCATTTCTTCATGTATTTCCCATTTATTTGTACTTCTTTTGAGAACTTTTTGTTCATTTCATCTGTCCATTATTAATTGGGTTATTCATTCTTTGGTGTTTAATGTGTGTGCGTGCGTGCGTGTGTGTGTGTGTGTGTGTGTGTGTGTGTGTGTGTGTGTGTATGTCAATACTAAAGCTTTAACTCAGGGCCTTTAACTCCTTTAGCTTTTTTTGCTCAAGCCTGGTGCTCTGCCACTTGAGCTACACCTTCACTTCAGTGTTTGCTGGTTAATTGGAAATAAGAATCTCTTGGGTTTTCCTGAACCATGATCCTCATAACTCAATATCCTGAGTAGCCAGGATTACAAGTATGGGCTAGCTCTTGAGTTCATAATATAGTCTAGATATTAATATTTTGTTGAATGAATATATGGCAAAGATTTTCTCCCATTCTGTAGGTTGTCTCTTCATTTTGATGTGCAGAAGCTGTTTACTGTAATACAACCCATTTATTAATTCCTGCTCTTGTTTCCTGGGCATTTGAGATCTTATTGACAAAGTCATTGCTATGCCTATATCTTATGTATTTTCCTTGTTTCCTATAGTAGTTTCAAAATTTCAGGTCTTACATTTAAGGTTATTTAAGCTAACTGCCGGTGGCTTACTCTATAATCCTAGCTCAAGAAAATAATGGTTCAAGACTAGCTAGGTCTCATCCTCCACACCCTTTTCATCCAGTAACTGGGCAGGGTGAGATGCATGTGTTGTCTCAGGTTTGAGATCATGTGGATTTCTGCTCCAGTCCAGCCCAGGCAGAAAAGCCCATGCAACTCCATCTTAACACCTGTCACCCCAGCTATAATGAGAAGCCTAAGATAGGTGTATCACGGTCCAGGTACACACTTGACAGGAAATAAGACCCTATCTCTCAAAAATCACCCACACAAAAAAGGACTAGAGATGTGGCTCAATAGTAGAACACCTAGCTAGCAAGCTTGAGACCCTGAGTTCAAACCCCAGTACTGCGTAAGAGTTGGGGGGGAGGGGTGTGTGTGTAAAGATCTTTGGTCCATTTTGAATTTATTTTATAAGTGATAGGGATATATTTCCAGTCTTCCTCTGTGGCTACCCAGTTCCAGTTTTCCCAGTACCTTCTGTTGTTGAAGAGGCTGCTTATTAGAGACATGTTATTGTCTCTGTTGTCAAAAATCAGATGGCTGTATTGAGTCTTTCATTCCATAGGTCTGTGTCTGGTTTTGTGCCAATACCATGCTGTTTTAAGGGCAGAGAAGTTGTTGGTTTGTTTTTGGCCATGTTAGGGTTTTAATTCAGGGCCTCACACTTGTTAGGTAGAGGGGGCAAGGTCTCTACTACTTGAGCCATGCCCTCTTAGCCCTTTTTGGTTTAATAATTTTTCAGATTGGGTCTCACATTTTTGGTTTTGCTTTGTTTGTGGTGCTGGAGTTTGAACTCAGGCCTCACACGGAAGGTACTCTACTGTATTTACTAATGACGTGTCTCCAGGCCTTTTTTTTGTGCTGCCTTTTGTTTTTTTAAACTTGTCCTCGGGCTTTAACTCGGGGCTTGAGCGCTGTCTCTGAGCTTTAGTGCTCAAGGCTAGTGCTCTACCACTTTGAGCCACAGCTCCACTTCTAGCTTTTTTTTACTGGTTAATTGGATATAAGAGTCTTGCAGCCTTTCTTGCCCAGTCGGCTTCGAATTGCTCTCCTCAGCTCTCAGCCCCCTAAATAGCCCAGCAACCAGTGCCCTGCTATGTACTGCATATTTTTGAGGTAGAGCCTCACATCCTTCCTAGGCAAATACTTGCTCTTTGACAAACCTGTTTTAAGCTTCTTGCCATAAACAGGGATTACCATACCCAGCTTCTTCTGTTAAGACAGAGTCACATAGACTTTTTCAGCACAGGCTGGCCATTTTCAGGCTCCCAAATAGCTAGGAGTATAAGTAGAGCCCATGGTGTCTTGCTAGATCTCTTATTTTTGCTTAAAGCCAGCCTCAGACTGCCATTTTCTTATCTATGGCTTTCTGTATAATTGGGATGATGGGCATATGGCACCACACCCAGCTCACTGAAATGGGACTCATTCAATTTTTTCCTGTCTGGCCTCAAACCATAATCCTCCCAAATATCTACGTGCTAGTAGCTGGGATTGCAGATGTGAACTACTGTGCCCAGCTCACCATGCTGTTTTTGTTACTTTTGCTTTGAAGTATAATTTGGAATTAGGTATTGTGATACCTCCAGGATGCTTCTTTTTGCTTAGAATTACTTTGGCTATTTGGTTCTTTTTGATTTTCATATAAATTTTAAGATTGATTTTTCTATTTCTGTGAAGGATAGCGCTGGTATTTTGATGGGAACTGTGTTGAATCTGTATATTGCTTTCAGTAGTGTGGCCATTTCACAATATTAGTTCTGATGATCAATATGAGAAGTCTTTCCATTTTCTAAAGTGTTCTTCAGTGTTTTTAATTGTCTTTGTAGAAATCTTTCACCTCATTTGTTGACTTTATTCCTAGTTTATTGTTTTTACTTTTTGCTTTTGTTTGGCTTTTAAAGCTGTTGTCAATGAGATTATTTTCTAGTTAGTCACTTTTTCCAGGTAAGTGTGCTAAGCCCTTACAAAAATCTTTATTTGTTTCTCACAGGTCATAGAGAAGAGGTACTTTTTAAGAGATGGCAATCAGGTTGGTATCTGTCTTTTCTTGAAAATGGGTTCTTAAATTTAGAGGGATAGTTTCTAAGTTTATCTCCATAAATGGTCTTAAAAAGTTGGTGGAAAGCCCTCGATAGGCTCAAGGAACTTACTTTCTTCTATCCTGTTAAAGACAAAAGAAAAAAAAATCAGTGAAGAACTAAGATACAAGATAAATTTATAGATAAAGTTGTATAAAATAACAAAATTAACCATTTGTTAGAGACTCAAACATTTATTTACAGATTCTGTCACAATACAAATAGTTTACATAAAAGTCCAGTTTGTGATTTTAGGAAATTCACTTCATCCTGGCCAGTTAGATGACAGTGTCTCCAATTTGTTGACAAATGTTCTCCATTTGGGTAGGATTTTTTTTATTTATTAATTAATATTCTGTGGTTTTCTGATTAAAACTTTAGAAGGCTGGTTCTATGGTAAACAGGCTGGAATACAGGGACAGAAAACAGGAAAAAAAATTACAGCGTTTGAACTCTCCCTGCTCAAAACTTAATGTGATCTTGTGTTTTACCTACAGATGCCAGGTTTTCCTGATCGAAAACGATTTTTGGGAGGAACGTTTAAGAGCCTTCATTATGACTGATGTACCTTCATAATGACTGAAGTACCCTCATCCCTTGGAAGAAAGAGCATGCAGTGGCAGTTGTCACAGCTTTCCTTTTGCTGTGTCAATTATTTACATCTCGGCCTTTTGATGGAAGCATCTTTAAAATGCTACCCTTTAGCCTTATCCTTTAATGGAAAAATGAAAGGACAGCACAACGGGGGGAGATCCAAGCTCCGTCCCCGTTCTTTGTGCTCCCCACCTTTCTTCTGCCCCTGTTTATAGATCATGTGACAGCCTGGTGAAAATAGGAGGTGTTTTCACAAGGATGCAGTAAATGAGCAGTGATAAGGTACTGCAGAGAAAATTTACTCCGGCTTGGAACTGAAGGGCTTTCTTTACGAGTCTGTAATTTTCCCACACTCATTGCTGAAGGCTAAATTAAGTACTTCAAAGAAGTATCTCTGTTATTTTACCTTCTTGAGGGGAAAGGTTAGGTAACCAGTCCCAAGTTGTCCACCTCAAATAATCTCCCTCATTTTCAAAGAAGCCAAATGGTGTTATTTAATTGTCTCTACCCTCATTACACAACAGGGATGCCTAAAAATAGTAACCCTCTCCTTTACTTTCTAAATGGCTTGGTGGCTGAGAGGGACAGACTAATAGCTGGAGTTAAATATAAATAGAGATTAATAATACATAGAGAACAGCAGGACCAGAAAAGAAGAATTCTGTGATAAACTGACAGCTTCTTCATCCTTTAGGTTGCAGCTGTCTGCAGGCTCATAATGTTTTCTGTTTGGATATGGTAGGAAGAAATCTAAAACCTGCACAAGGGCAGTAAGAGATTGGATGTTTACTCTTTGATGTTTACGTTTTTCAAGGAAATTCAACTCCTGACTTGTCCCTTAGCTATACTCAGAAAACTAAGAATATGATTTTTATATCAAAAAAACAATGTATTTATGGGGGAAAAGTGAAAATAAGCAACATTTATATGAATTATGAACTAGGATTCTTAGTGTTCATCGTCACTATAAAGCTCTCTGCATGTGTGTGTGTGAGATCACCTGTGTTCTTTCCCTCTGTGCTGCAGTCCTCTGCTCTCCTGATTTTACTTCATATTAAAAGTAATCATTTTCATTCTTGTTTTAAAATGAGGTGAAAAAGAACTAAATTCATTTTCTCTTCCACGTTAATTAAATTTTAGAAGTACTCTGGAAGCCAAGGTATGCTGAGAAAGGATATTAAAATGTTAGTGAGGGCTGGGAAGGTGGCTCAGTGGTAGAGCGCTTGCCTTGCATGCCTGAGGCCCTGGGTTCAATTCCTCAGCACCACATAAGCAAAAAGAAAAAAGCCAGAAGTGGCGCTGTGGCTCAAGTGGTAGAGCACTAACCTTGAGCTGAAGAGCTGAAGGATAGTGCCCAGGCCCAGAGTTCAGGCCCCACGACTGGACCCAAAAAAATAAATAAATAAATAAAATAAAATGTTAGTGAGTGCTTTTGGAGCGGCAGTCTGGGGAATTTACAAAAGCCTTTTGAAGGCACTTTTCATCAGCTGAACTTTTCTCCTGTTCTTCTTCCCTCACTCACTGAAGCAGCTAGCACTGGTTGTTTTTGCTCATTTTTATTTTTTTTTAGATAAAATGGAGTCATGCAAATCATGTTCTGTGTGTGAAATGTGGCAAAGGTGTGTTGTGGCAGAGGCTATAGAGTTGGGAAATAGAAACCAAATGCTACACAAGGGCCTAAATCATCCAAAACTCTTCGGAGTTTCCTTGTTAAAAATAAATCAATGTTAAACAGCTTAACCTAACCCACAACGGAAATGTAGTGGAAGTACACTTGTTTAGCATGTATGAGACACTAGAATTGATCCTCAGTACTATAAAAATAAAAATTGAAATTGGAAATTAAAAACTAAATCTTTCCCTCTCTTCTTTTCAAATTAAAAAAAAAAATCCATCCAAATTTCTTTATTTTCTTCCTTACTAAGAAACAAAAATGAGCTAAGGATTTAGCTCAGTGGCAGAGTATTTGCCCTTGGTTCCATCCCTATCACCAAAATAAATAAATCCATTACTGATGGCTCCAGGGACAGCATTTTTTAAAAAATTAACAATATTCCTAGTTCCATTTCTTCTTGTTACCAACCCAATTCCTGGAATTATATAGTTTTCTAAGAAAAATAAAGTTAATTATCTAACATAAATTTCTTGCAAGAATTTGTAGCAACAAAATAAGGCTATTTACCAAAATGAACTTCAACAGCCAGACTTTTTTTAAAGAATGCTTTTAAAGCATAATTTTTAAGACGTAGTCATAAAAATTGCCTATAGAAAATATGTGAGTATAAACGCACAAATGGTTTTTAATGTGTTTAGTTAACTCTTAATTTTCCTACCTTCTAAATTGGATAAGTTGCTAGTAATAAAGGTTTTGCTACATTTGTTTGTTCTCCCTGTGCAAGCAGAGATTTCTAAACCAATTTGCTCACTCATTGTAGAGTCAACCAGGTGTCAAGACATATAGGCATTCATCCGTCCCTCAGGTGAGCAAGACCCTTATTTGGAATACAATTAAGGATTTGGGCTGCTCTCTCGTTCTCAATGACAGTGGGGTATAGGACATGCTATGGCAAAATGTAGCACCTATGCATTTGAGAAAACAGCAGGAGCATAGAAAGGTCACTCATAGCTGCCCTTTACCCCTCCCTCCTCCCCCCCTTCCTCAATACAGGCCTTAAAACCTAACTGTAAGCAGGTGTTGGTGGCTTCTATGTGTAATCATAGATACTCAGGAGGCTGAGACCTGAGGATTGCAGTTTGAAGCCAGCCAGGACAGAAAAGTACAAGATGCATCATCATCAATTAACCAGCAAAAAGCCTGGCTAGAAGTGTCACTCTAGTTCAGGCCCCAGTACCAACAAAATAACCTAGTTGTATTCTCACAAAATAGATCCCTAAATCTGTATTTAGAGATACGCTCCTTCAAAGACAAAAGATACCAAGAAGAATGTGAACATCAGGTCTTAATTAAGTTCATTAGCTCTGTCCTTCTGCCATCCCAATAGTATTTCTGCACAACAGATATACATAGGTTTCAATGTATGTAAAAATTACAACAGCTTCTCCAATTTCTTGGAGAACTTTATTCAACTTACATTAAATAAATGAGTTTTTATATAAATGGTTTTATCTTGTTAATCTATCTTTTGTAATAGATGCCTTTGCCGTGAATAAGGAGAAAAATCTTCCTATATTCTCTAGAAAAAGCTATTCCAAAGAAGGGTTGATTTAGATTTTGCACAAGTTCTTAGCATTCCCTGAGTGAGGCATTCATGATATAGTCCAGGTGCCCATGCTGATGGTTTTCTCCATTTTGAAACTGAGCTTCCTGGAACTGATGTGCTGAGCCGTGGACAGCTCCTAAATACTACCCTTATCTGTGCTGTTGAGTCATCTTTTCAATGGTGTGTGTTACAGTACCCAACACAGTGGCTTTGTGTGTGGATTTACTAGATGTTGGCTTAACTGAATTTTTTTAAATCAGGGGTAATATCCTAGTTTAAGTTTAGGGGTCTAACAGGTTGTCTGTATTGATTTAGTATGTTAAAATTCAAAGAGTGGAGGACAGTGTTTGGAGAAAAACAAGCAAGAGAAAAAAATTAAGAATATATTTCTCTGTAGTCTCAGGACTGAACTAAATCATGTGGTGAGAGGGAAAAGTTCCAAGAATTCTAGCTCTGGGCCTCACATATTCACAGTATGTTTGCCAGTACACAATGTGTGAAGACAGTTTGCCAATGCTGCTCCATAGGGCAGGAAAAAGGATGTGACTTCCAGTTACAATTAATGTACATCTCCATCTAAGGACTTAAATCAATTGCTTTACAACTCATCAATGCATAAAAATCTGAAATACAAGTTTTAAATGCAGATTCCAGAATTTCATCTCTGCCCCCTCCTTCCTATCTTGGTTCTGTATATATGCAATACATCCAGGATTTTATCTTTTGACAGGCAAACCAAGTGATTCCAGGGATCTGCTCTTTCACAGAAACTAAGAAATTAGAGAATACATAGATTGTAGACACTGTATTTCACTCATTTATTCATTTTGAGCCAGTATTAGGGCTTGAATTCAGGGCCTGGAGTTCTCAATCAGCTTTTTCCACTCAGGGCTATCATTCTACCATTTGAGCCACACCTCCACTAATAGCTTTTTTGCTGGTTTGTTAGAAATAAGGATCTCTGGGATTTATTTGTCTGCCCAGGCTTCAAACTGCAATTCTGAGATCCTAGCCTCCTGAGTAAGCTAGGATCACGGGCACCCATTAGGAAACAAAATTCTTTAAAGAATTTACAAGAATCGGGCTGGGAAGGTGGCTCTGTGGTAGAGCGCTTGCCTTGCATGCCTGAGGCCCTGGGTTCGATTCCTCAGCACCACATAAGCAAAAAAATTAAAAAAAAAAAGAATTTACAAGAACCCTCAAGATATTTAAGATGTTAAGACAAGTTATAGTTAATGTGTCATATTACTTGAAGTGAAATGCTTTAGGAAATGGTCTACCCCAAAACCTGAGCTCATCCCTAGAAGGGGTCTGCAGAAAAACTGGTGCTGGTCCCTGTCTTCAAGCAGTTCTAGAAACACCTGGGTCAGAATATACTTAATTTTTTTCAGTGATTCCATGGGGACTGACACTCTGTCCTCTTCCTTCCAGGCCTGAGTGAGAATTGTCTGCCTCATCCAGCAGTCACTTAACTCCTACAGTTCCTTTCCCAAATCTTTTGAGAGAACTCTGCCTCTTTTAAGTGCAGCAAGTGATTAGCCAATATTTACTTCTGCTGGTTCTGCAAACTTTAAACAGTCCATGTTTAATGAAAAAACAAATAATTGCGTAAGAATTTGCTGGACTTTCTCTCTAGTTTATAAGTGAAGTGATTCTTCTTGAGTCAACTGTGGACCAAGGATTCACAGTGAAGTGGTGAGATCAAGAACATCCAGAGAGAAGCCAGAAGAAGAAACAGAAGGATTTGGGTTTCATACTCTCTGGCCTGGGTTTCCGGAAGGCTTGCAGCAGAAAGAAAAATGGCAGAGTTGAAGGTAAGCCCCATCTGGCTGGGGCTTTAACAAAGATCAGAGACTAGGTATGACTAGACATAGGTTAAGAGTATTCTTATCATATTAGAAGCCCTGAGTTCCACTCCTACCACCAAAAGGAGGATGGAGAGAGATTTTTTTTTAAATAAAAAGCGGGGGGTGGGAGAGAGGGGAGAGATGGGAGGGAGGAAAAAAGTCTGGCAAGTTTGTTGTGGTTTCTTCAACTTCTGAGAACTCAAGGGTATCAGAACTGAAGAAGACTTGGAGCAGGGTCAGGTCTAAGCCACTGTGTTCAGAGGCTTCACCGCAGCGCCTCTGACTATGGTTGAGGCTGGGAGACAAGGAAAAGAAAGATATTAGCCATCTCCTGCCTTTGTTCATTTCAAATATTGTTTTGGGGATCGGTGGACATTCTAAGGACTTCCCTCCATCAACCACACACATGCATGCACAGACACACATACACACACTTTTCTCACTACATCTTTCTGCTGCTTTCTGGCATGGTTCTAGAGATGCAACTTCCTGGACTGCTGCCGTCCAGCCAATTAGATATGCTGTTTTGAGATTCAGAATCAGCCTTAGTCAGTACAAGTCCTTGAACCTCCTCTGGGAAATAGTTCTTTTATTCAAGACACAATTCAAAAGTATGAGTGTTTGGTGCTAAGCATTTTAATTCTCAATTAACTCATACTGTAATCTTCACAGTAAAGCTAAGATATAGATATTCTTATTTCTATTTAACCAGTGAGGAAAGTAAAGTTCAAAGAGACGACAGAATCTCCCAAGCTCATGGCTGATCGGTGATGGACACCATGCTAGAACTTGGGTTTGTCTGAATCTACAGCTCAGCTGGGGAGAAAAAAGGAGCCTTGATTGTTCTTAGTAGACTGGTGCCTTCAAGCAAGCAGTGTGTCCCAGTGTCTAAACCAATGTCTAGCTGAAAGAGTGACTCCAGGGCCATAGGGAACATGAGGCTCTGAGTTCAAACCACAGAATCCCCAGAAAAGAAAAAACTAAGCCCATCATTCATCAAATAATATGTGCTAGCATATGATGCAGCAGATTAATAAAACTATGAACAAAGTCCACATTAGGGAGAATCAAGAGAAACTTCCAGAAGGGGGTCATTCCTAGGCTGTCTTGAGAGTGAAG